TTCTATCTTTCTGTTATTGCTTTTTCTTCTGTTGCTTCTTCTGTTGCCTTTCTTCTGTTCTTCTTTCTGTTGCTTCTTCTGTTGCTTTCTTGTTGCTCTTTTTGTGTCTTTATTCTTCTGTGCTCCATCTTCTGTTGCTCTTCTGTTGCTTCCTCTGTTGCTTTCTTCTGTGCTTCTTTCTGTTGCTTCTGTTGCTGTTTGTTGCTTCTTCTTCTGTTTGTTTCCATCTGTGCTCTTCTGTATGCTCTCTGTTGCATCTTCTGTCTTTGCTTCTCTCTGTTGCTTTTCTGTTCTTCCTCTGTGCTTTCTATCTGTTTTCTCTGTTGTCTTCTTGTTGCTTCCTCTGTTGCCTTCTTCTGTTGTCTTTCTTTGTTTGTCTTCTTCTGTATGCTTCTTTTTGTTTTGCTTTCTTCTGTTGCTTCCCTGTTGCTTTTCTTCTTGCTTTCTTGTTTTGTCTTCTTTCTTTGTTGCTTCTTCTGTTGCTTTCTTCTGTTTGCTTTCTCTGTTGCTTTCCTTTCTGTTTCTTTCTTCTTGTTTTTGCTTTTTCTTCTTGTCTTCTGTTGTTCTCTCTGTGCTTTCTTCTTGTCTTCTCTGTTGTCTTTTTTCTGTCTTTTTGTTGCTTCTTGTTGGCTTCTCAGTTGCTTCTTCTGTTGCTTTCTCTGTATTGCTTTTCGGTCTGTTGCTTCCTCTGTTGCTCTCCTCTGTGTCTTCTTCTGAATTGCTTCTCTGTGGGCTTTCTTCTGTGCTTTCTCTCTGTTTGCTTTCTCTGTGCTTCTTCTGTTTCTTCTCTGTTGCTCTTCTGTTGCTTCTCTGTTTGCTTCTCTTGGTGGGCTTTAGTGGCTTCTTCGTTGCTTTCTTCATGTTGCTTTCTGTTGATTTCTTCATGTTGCTTTATCTGTGCTTCTCTGTTGCTTCTCTGTTGCTTTTCCTCTGTTGCTTCTTCTTGTTGCTTCTCTGTTGCTATCCTTCTGTTGCTTCTTCTGTTTGCTTATTCTGTTGCTTCTTCTCGTCGTGCTTATCTGTTGCTTCTCTGTTGGCTTCTTCTGTTGCTCCTCATGTTGGCTTCTTTCTGTGTTCTCTGTTGTCTTTCTTTCTCTGTTGCTTCTTCTGTTTGCTTTCTTTCTTTCTGTTGCTTCCTTGTTGCTTCTTCTGTTGCTTTACTCTGTTGCTTCTTCTGTTGGCTTCTTCTGTTGCTTATTCTGTTGCATCTTCTGTTGCTTCTTCTGTTGCTTCTTCCTGTTGCTTTCTGTTTTCTTCTGTTGCTTCTCTCTGTTGCTGTTCTTGTTGCTTCTTCTGTTTGCTTCTTCACTGTTGCTTCTTATGTTGCTATTCGTCTGTTTCTTCTTCTGTTTGCTTATTCTCTGTTAGCTCTCTGTTGCTTTCTTCTGTTGCTTCTCCTGTTGCTTCTACTTCTGTACTGCTTATCTGTTGCAATTCTTCTTGTTGCTTCTTCTGTTGCTTCTCTTGTTGCTTCTTCTGTTGCTTTCTTCTGTTGTGCTTTCTCTTGTTGTTCTTCTAGATGCTTCCTACCTGTTGCTTCTTCTTGTGGGCTTCTATCTGTGCTTCTTCTGTTGCTTATTCTGTTGCTTCTCTTTGCTTCTTCGTTGGCTTCTTCGTGCTTCCTGTTGCTTTCTTCTGATTGCGCATTTCTGTTGCTTCTCTTGTTTGCTTTCGTTCTTCTGCTTCTCTGTTTGCTTCTCTGTATGCTTTCTCTTGTTGCATCTTCTGTGCTTTCCTGTATGCTTTCTTCCTGTCATGTATTGCTTCTCTCTGTTGCTTCTTCTGTCTGCTTCTTCTGTTGCTTCTCTGTTGCTTTCTGATGGGTCTTCTCTGTGGGCTTCTTCCTGTATTTTTCTTCTTTGCTTTCTCTGTTGCTCTTCTGTTTCTGTCTCTGTTGCTCTTCTGTTGTCTTCTTCTCTGTTTGCTTCTTCTGATATGCTATCTAATTGTTGCTTCTTCCTGTTGCTTCTCTGCCTGTTGCTTCCTAGTTGCTTCTCTGATTGCTTCTTCCTGTTAGCTTCTCTGTATTTGCTTATCTGACTTCTGATTGCTTTACTCTGTTGCTCTCTGTTTGCTTTACTTACTGTTGCTTCTCTCTGTTGCTTCCTTCTGTTTGCTTTTCCTGTTGCTTGCTTCTGTTGCTTTTCTGTGCTTCTTCTTGCTTCTTCTGTTGCTTTCTCTGTGCTTTTTTGTTGCTGTCTTTCTTGTGCTGTTGCTTTCTGTTGTTCTTCTGATTGCTTCTTCTGTTGCTTCTTCTTGCTCTCTGTTGCTTCTCTGTTGCTGTATCTGTGCATCTTGTCTGTTGCTTTCTTCATGATTGCTTTCTGTTGCTTCTTACCGTGTGCTTCTACTGTTCTTCTTTCTGTGCTATCCTCTGTTTAGCTTCTTCTGTTGCTCATCTCTGCTGTTGCTTCTATTCTTAATGTTGCTTCTCTGTTGCTTTCTCTTCTGCATCTTCTGTTGCTTTCTTCCGACTGTTGCTTCTTCTGTGCTTTCTCTGTTGGCTTCATTCTGTTGCTTCTCTCTGTTTGCTTCTTCTGTTGCTTCTCTGTTGCTTTTCTCTTTGCTTCTTAACTGTTGCTTCTCTGTTGTTTACTGTTTGCTTCCTACTGTTGCTTCTTCTGTGCTTTTTCATGTTGCTTCTTTCTAGTTGCTATCATCTGTTGCTTCTCTGTGGGCTTCTTACTGTGGGCTTCTTCTGATTGCTGTCTTCACTGTTGCTTCTCTGTTTGCTTCTTCTGATTTCTTCTCTGTTGCTTCTTTTCTGGATTGCCTTCTCTGTCTTCTTTCTGTTGCTTCTCTGTATGCTTCCTCTAGTTGCTCTTAAACTGTTGCTTCTCATGTTGCTTCTTCTGTTGCTTCATTGTTGCTTCTTCTGTTGCTTCTCTGTTGCTTCTCTGTCTTTCTTCTGTTGGCTTCTTGTTGCTTACTTCTGCTGTGGCTTCTTTCTGTTGCTTTCTTCTGTTGCTTTCTCTGTTTGCTTACTTCTGTTGCTTCTTCTGATCTCTCTTTGCTTTCTTCTGTAGCTTTTCTCTTGTTGCTTTCTTTCTGGTTGCTTCTTCTGTATGCTTCTTCTGTTGCTTCTTTCTGTTGCCTTCATCTGTTGCTTCTTTCTGTTGCTATCTTCTGTGTTGCCTTCTCTGTATGGCCTCTTCTCGTTGGCTTCTTGCTGTTGTCTCTGGTTGGGCTTTGTGGACTTGTTCTTGTTGCTTTCTCTCTGTTGCTATCTTCTGTTTCTCTCTGTTGGCCTTCTTCTGTTAGCTTCTACTGTGGGGCTTTGTGGCTTTCTTTGTTGCGTTCTTCTGTTGCTTCTTCTTTTGCCTGTCGTCTGTTTGCTTCTTACTGTTTGCTTCTCTGTTGCTTTTCTCTGTTGCTTCTTGTATGTTCTTCTGTTGGGCTTCTTCTGTGCTTCTACTGTTGCTTCTTCTGTTGCTCTTCTGTTTTTGCTTCTCTGTTGCTTCTTCTGTAGCTTTTCTTGTTGCTTCCTGTCTGTATTTGCTTCTCTTGTTGCTTCTTATGTTGCTTTCTTCTGTTGCTATCCTCTGTTGCTTCTTCTGTTGCTTCTTCTGTTGCTTCTTGTGCTTCTTCACTGTTCCTTCTTCTGTTGCTTCTCTGTGGGGTACTTTGTGGCATTCTTCTGTTGCTTCTCTGTTTTGCTTCTTTCTGTTGCTATTCTCATGTTGCTTCTTCTGTTTGCTTCTCTCTGTGGTCTTTGTGGCTTTCTTGCTTTTCTAGTTTGCTTCTCTGTTGCTTCCTTCTGTTGGCTTCATATTTGTTGCTTCTCTCTGTGGGCTTCTTCTGTTTCTTCTCTGTTGCATCTTCTGTTGCTTTCCTCTCTGTTGCTTCCCTTGTTGCTTCTTCTGTTTGCTTCTCTGTGCTTCTCGTGTTGTTCTTCGGTGTTGCTTTCTTCTGGTTCATTATCTGTATGTTGTCCTGTCTGTGCTTCTTCTGTAGCTTATCTGTTGCCTTCTCTAGTTGCTTCTTCTGTGGGCATTTATCTTCTGTTGCTTCTTCTGTTGCTTCTTCTGTTTTGCTTCCTCTGTTGCTCTCTTCTGTTGCTATCTTTCTGTTGCTTCTAACTGTTAGCATTCTTCTGTTGCTTCTATCTGTTTTGTTCTTCTGTTGCTTATTCTGTTCCAATTTCATGTTGCTTTCTGTTGCTTTCTCTGTTGCTTCATCTGTTGCTTTCTCGTTGCTTTCTCTGTGCTTTTCTCTGTTGCTTCTTCCTAGTTGCTTTCCTACTGATTGCCTATCTTCTGTTAGCTATTCTTTTCTGTTGCTGTCTTCTGTTGCTTTCTGTTGCTTCTTCTTTGTTGCTATCTGTTGCATTCTTCTTTGCTATCTTCTGCTTGCTTTCTGTTGCTTCTGTCTGGCTTCTTCATGATTGCTTATTCTGTTTGCATCATCTCTGTTGCTTTCTTTTTTCTGTTGCATTTTCTGTTTGCTTCTTACATTGTTGCTATCCATCTGTTGCTTCTTCCTGTTGCACTTTCTTACATGTTGCTTTCTCTGTTGCCTTCTTACTGTTGCTATCCTCTTTTGCTTTTTTCTGTTGCTTCTCTCTGTTGCTTCCTCCTGTTATGCTTCTTCTGTTGCTTTCTCTGTTGCTTCTTCTTGTTGTCTTTTCTCTGTTGCTTCCTTCTGTTTGCTTCTCTGTTGCTTCTTTATGCTTCTTCCTGTTGCTCTCTGATTGCTTCTTCTGTGGTTTCTTCTCTTCTGTGCTATCTTTCTGTTGCTTCTCTGTTAGCTTTTCTGTTTGGCTTCTTTTTTTTCACCTTTGTTGACTTCTACTGTTGCCTTCTAATCTGTAGCTTCTTCTGTTGCTTTCTTATCTGTTTGGCTCTGTTGCTTCTTCTGTTGCTTTCTTCATGTTGCTTCCATCTGTTGCTATCTTCTGGTTGCTCTCTTCTGTTGCTTCTTCTCTGTTGCTTTCTTCTGTTTGCTTCTTCTGATTGCTTCTCTGGTGGGGCTTGATGTGGTTCTTTTGATTTGCTTCTCATGTTGCTTCTTACTGCTCTTCTCTGTTTGCTTTCTTCTGATATGCTTCTCTGATGGGCTTTAGGGTGGCTTCTTTGTTGCTATATATCTCTGTTGCTCTCGTCTGTTTTGCTTCTTCTGTTGCTTCTCTGTTGCTTATCTTCTGTTGCTTCTTTCTTGTTGCCTCTCTTCTTTGCTTTTTTTGTGTTGCTCTACTGTGGGCTTTTGTGGCTTCTTTTGTTTGCTTTTTTTTTTTTTTCTCTTGTTTGGTGCTTTTTGTGGGCTTTTTTCTCTGTTGGCTTTCTCTGTGGGCTTTGTGGCTTCTTCTCGTTTTGTTTGCTTTCTCTCCTCTTGTGGCTTTTGGTGCTCTTTTGTGTTTTTCTTCTGCTGGGCTTTGTTTGGCTTCTTTTTTCTGTTGCTTCTTTCTGTGGTGCTTTTGTGGCTTCAGAGTTTGCCTCGGGAATGCTATGGATACGCTCCTTCGCCTCTCCCCGCCGTGCCATCTGCCGTCGATTCTTGTCTTGCTGTGCCTTCCCTTCTCTCTCTCCCTTCCTACTGCTCACCTACTCCTCTGATAACCCTCCCCCCCAACTCGCCCCTATCCCTCTACTGACGGCGCGTCTTTCCCCCCGACGACTTTCCCCCACCACGTCCCTACTTCATTCTCTTCTTCCTCCCTCAGTCTTCGCCACTACTTTTCTGTTTCCCTGTTCCTCTCCTCACACTTCCCCCATGACCCCCTATCATACACGTTACCTGTATTACATGCTAATTCCACTCCTGATCCTCACTCCCCTCCCTCTCTTCCACTCTCCCTCCTCCTCCCCCCCTCCCTTCATCTTTTATCCTCTCCTTCCACCTTGTCCTTCCTCCCTTCCTCCCACTCCCTCCCTTCCTCTTCCCTCCTCCTTCCCGCTCCGTCCCCCTTCCTCTCCGCCTTCCTCCGTCCCTCTTCCTCTCCTTCCCTCACGTCCCCTGTCTCACCTTTCTTCTCCCTCCTCCCCTCCACCTCCTCTCCTTCCCACTCCGTCCTTCTCCCCAGCACCGCTCCTCTTTCCCCCTCGCCCTCCGTCCTTACTCCCTCCCTCCCATCGCCATCTTCCCTCCTCCTTACCCTCCGTACCCTTCCTCCTCCCACACTCCATCCTCCCTCCTCCCTCCGCTGGCCGCGGGCGAACACCTGACGATCACCTCGCCCCCCCTCCCTCAACATGGGCAGTGAAGTGTGCATGAGCGCACGTAAGCTGGCTCTCAGTGTTCACGAAGAATATACCTGTTCCTCTCTCCTCTCTCGTCATCTGTTTCTGATCTCTTTTCTCTCTCTCTCTTCATCTCTCCTCTCTCTCGTCGCTCTCATTTTGGTTTTCCGCGTCTAGTCTAATCTGTCTCTCTCAAACTCTCTCTCTCTCTCTCTGTTTCTTCCTGTCTTTCTCTTATCTCCCCTCCCTCACCCCCTCTCTCATCGCTCTCTCTGTTTTCTCTCTCTCCGTCCTCTCGCTCTATCTGTGTTTCTGGTCTTTCTTATCTCCCTCCCTCCCCCTCTCTCTCGCCTCTTTGTTTCCGTCGTCTATCTGTCCTTCCTCTCATCTCCTACTCTCATCTCTGTTTCTGTCCATTCCTCTATCTCCCCCCCTCCCGTCCCCCCTCTCTCTCGCTCTCTGACTGATTTCATGTCCTACTGTCATGTCTCTCTCCCACATCTCTCATCTCTTCTCTCTCATGTTCTGTAGTTTTCTTATCTCCCTCCCTACCCCCCCCCTCTCTCATCGATCTCATCTGTTCTGTCCTCTGTCCTGTCTGTCTGTCTCTCTCTTCGTCCCTCCCTCTCTTCTTTCTACTCTCTCTCGCCTTTTAATTTTCTATTTTCTCCTACCATCTCCACTCCCTCCATCGCCCTCCCCATCGCCCGCTACTCCTCCCCCATACAAGAGCCATCCTGACCCGAGGAAAGCCTTCTGCCCGGGCACGAAGGAGCCTTCTGCCCGGGCAACGAGGAAGCCTTCTGGCCGGGCACGAGGAGCCTTCGCCCGGGCAACGAGGAGCCTTCTGCCCGGGCACGGGGCTGGGACGAGGAGCCTTCTGCCCGGGCACGAGGAGCCTTCTGCCCGGGCACGAAGGAAGCCTTCTGCCGGGCACGAGGAGCTCTTCTTGCCCGGGCACGAGGAGCCTTCTGGCCCGGCACGAGGAGCCTTCCCTGCCCGGGCAGCGAGGAGGCCTTCTGGCCGGGCACGAGGAGCTTCTGCCGGGCAACGAGGAGCCTTCTAGCCCGGCACACGAAGGAAGCTTCTGCCGGCAACGAGGAGTTTTTTTCTGCCCGGGCACGAGGAGCACTCTGCCCGGCACAGAGTGACCTTCTGAACCCGGAGCACGCAAGGGACAGGCGCCCGGGCGTATATCGGCTCCTCCCGAAGGCTGCCCGAAAGGTGGGATTTTCCGCCACGTAGTCCCGTTCGAGAAAGCAAAATAATTCCATTCCATTAGTATTTTCAATAAGTGTGGTTTGTGTGCTGTGGTGTGTTTGTG